ACTCACAGCATCATAGACAGCGGCCATTTGCCTACTTGCATAGCTGTCGTGTTCACTAATTGAGTAGAGAACATGTCTGGATTGTGGTGCTGTAGGCGAACCGCGTGGATTGATGAAACAACGTTGTGCACTAAAGAACAATATATAAAGAGAGGATACCGTTGCGCAAGTAATGGCCCTTTTTGCACGGCTACTGTATGCCTGCCGCGCCGCGTACAAGGCGCGACGCGTTTGTAATCCAGGATATGATTCGCGCTTACTTCATCAATCTCTCGTTGACTGCTCCGATGTGTCGATTGTCAAATGGATTTTGAGAGAAGGCAGCTCTTGTAAAGAACATAGTTTTCTCAAACTTCCTACACATATTCAGGAATTCCTGAAAATATCGTGTTTTTTGAATTTATGCAAATTGTACGGTCAAACAACGAACCTGCGCCGCTTTCGTAAAATGAGACAATTGCTCAACAGCAGGTTCTATGGCCTTTTGGTAATATTTCAGTGGAGTTAGCGCTTTACCTAGCGCTGGAATGTAGTCCTAGACTTATTTAGGTTAAATACATCAGAAACTTACAAAAAATTATAAATCAACTTAACCTTCACTATAGCTACGGCAAGTTCGGTAGTGTTGAATGGCAGCACAGCTTCGTCAGTAAAAAAGCGAGCTAATTCTGCCCAAAATTGTCCTATAGCGCGGTGGACCTAAAAGCAGATCTGAAAGAACCTTCAATTTGATGGTTCACTGCACTTACCGCAAAATTATCGGTATCTAAAAGATGCTCGTTCACAAAGGGTGTCTCATACATAGTGTGATAAAGCGGGTAGGTATCGTGAATTGTTGCGTTTTTGTACGAAAAATCAACCACAGGTATACCTGAAAAGACACTTATGCACCGCTACAGTATGCATGAACCTTCTAGGGTATTGTGGAAGAGAAAGTTGCTGCCGCGCTGTGACACATCACTTAGGGGACTGGCTTTCTATGAAATTCTTGCTTTGATAAAGAAACAAACTCCGCCAGTTTATAGTGCCTCCACGGACTACTGATCCTGGAACGACATACAATAACATTGCACACAAGGACCAGATGCCCACGAAGGCGGCTTAGACTGGCGAAATTCGTTCCCCTACCCTTCGAAATTCGTTCCCCTACCCTTGGTTGGCCAGGATCTCACCAGAAAACCATGGAAACTTCCGCCGGACAAGAAATATTTGCAACGGTTCCACAGATTTTACTGTCACAGAAGTTCAAGCGTCAAAAATGAGAACTGCAGGAATTTGAAACCAAAATTTCGCCTTCCATGTTTTTCCCATTCTGGAGTCTTTCCGTGGCCCTGATTACAGTTATGAAGTTCAAAATGTGCAAAACCCCCAAAAACCCGACTTTTAGGAGTCTTATTCTGAAGAAACAGACGACTCTCAGTGCTTGTGTGGGCGGAGCTTGATAGGGTGGGCGTGGCTTTCTAGCACTTTTGGGTTTCCAGATCCATTATCTCCAACTAGGGGCTACTTTGGAGGATCGGACCAGCGCAGATGCCCTTCTCCTGGGGTCTACATTTAGGCTGAAACCCAACCCCCTCTAATCGGAGGATTTTGGGTTTTGCCTAGACGCTGCCTTCAACATCGCGGAACTTCTTATCAATTGTATGAGATGGTAGCATACGGTATTTATGAACAAAAGGGTCTCCACTCTGACCTGCATAAGTGAGGAAAGCTGCGTGATCAGAGCCGCCTCCTGGTACTGGAATCTGAGGCAAACCAGGAGTGTGAGAAGGACGTAGCCTCAGCCAAGTGTCGTAGACTGTCGTCCTTCCCTTAGCCTTTTCTGACTTTGATGGGTTCTCTACTCTTTTGGCTGCTTCAACAATTACTCGATAAAGAGATGGGATTGTTCCAACATGTCTGAAACTAGCTCCTTCACAGTAAATTTCGAATTGGCTAAACAGACAATGTCATATTTCCATGAATAGTGTCCATATTCAAGTAGACAACTGCTCGTTGACGTAATATATCCGTAAACTCCTCGACAAACTCGGTTGATCCAATAATTCCATGCTCTTCTGCGTCCCAATTTGCAAACATTATCGTACGAGCTGAAAGTGACCTGTTTATTTCGTTCTTACATTTACACGACGATTACCTGGCCTCCAGCCAGTTTCGTTCACTGTCTGCATCATGGCCCTAGCTACTTCGGCTAATACAGCGGATCCACTGTTAGGATCCATAGATCCGTAAACCCAAGCATCAAAGTGGTTACCCAGTATAACGTAGCGATCAGGTTCGTCTTTTCCGCGGATGTATCCGATGACGTTTCTGATCTTCCTTAACTATTATTATTCTCACGATATTTGCGAAGTTTTGTTCATTTAATCAGTTGAAAGTTGCTCTATTTGAGGGGTGTGGTGCAAGAGGAACGATGGTAATTGGCAACCGCTGGTCTCAACCTTTCAAATTATGAAGAGTTAAGACGAATGCTTTACTCAAAAACGTGCTTAGAGCCCGGGACATTAGGTTGGAACATAAGTCTTGCGCCAAATTTCAAAATTCGGTAAACTCTTCCATATTCAGTGAATCTGCTCGAAATCTATGATTTACAAAGCGACTAAATTACTCTATTTCAAAGCAAGAATCACCAATATCATATCGGGGCAATAAACCCTGTTGAATGCAAGTACTCAATTAGCGTTTTCCCAGCTTTTGATCCCCACAAATTCTGGAAAGCCAGAAACTTCGAAATTTATTTTCAAGTTGAATTCTCTGTGCTGATAGGACATCTTTACAAGAAGTTGTAATTTTCAATTTTATTTTATTATTTATTTCTATTTTTTTATTATTCTCGAATGTCGATATTGTTTGGATTAAATTTGGACTAAAATCTCTGTAAACGATAAAATACTGCATAAATCATATACAATACAATGGAAAAATACTATAAAGGTTGAAACGTCACTCTGAGGATTTTTGAAGGAATTCTTTGAAATTTTGCAAGACTTATGTGCCAATCCAATACAATGTAGATGCCAATGCACGAAAAAAAAACGCTGATAACTCGAAGTTTCGTTTTTTAGACATCTTTCTGATTTGACTATCTTCACCCCTCATTTTCATGTTAACAAATCCTAGTCAACCGTCCCAGCCAATGGAAAACATGAAAGAAGAACGGCTCCAAATTTCTGCGTGAGGTTGACCAAAAAGAGGATTAAACATTCACTAGTCGAGATGCACGGAATCTCAGGCTGATTACCGAGTGCAATTTAACTGGAGACGCAGACGATGAGAGTAATGTGAGAATCATTTCGCTAGCGCACCTATTTGTGTGTCTACTTTCTCATGGAAAACCTAACAAACGTAGTAGTTATAATTCTTCTGCACTTAAGACACTGTACGGTCAGCGATTTTCATACAAAAACGGAAGCAAACCTACTTTTCTTTGAGATTGCTGTGAACTTCCATAGTCAATGTTTGACCAGAGAGTAACCCCGGCCCTAGCTTATATGTCACATTGATGGCGCCTATAATTTCTTCATT